AATATGTTGAGTCTGTGAGAACAGAAGGCCACGCTGCCCACTAGAATCCTGCCCAGGGCAGGACCAGGGCCAGACAATTGCCAGCTGAGTGCTGGGAGCATCTGTGACTAAAGCAGTCCTTCCTGAATGTCTGCACTGAGATAATGAGATTCTTCAAAGCCAAAGCACCAGTAGATAATTGGGGGTGCTTTTCCAACGACCTTTGTTAAAATGATAACGCAGCACTTCAGAACAATGGCCCTGGGAAAAATGGGCGTGTAGTTAGTTCACAGTCACTCCACTCACCCAGAGCCAGGGCGTACTCCAAGCCAAATGAAACTTTCTGGAAAGCCAATCCACGATAGAAATAGCTACATTCCCAGGCACTTAGATATGACCTCAAGGAGCTATAGCACTTTACAAACAGATAGGTAGGTAGATGGCGACTAACCATAGTGAGTCAACAGAAGAATCAAATCCCCTTGTGTTCAGTCCAACATTCTGCATGCTTCTTTAGTTAATAAGAATGGTTATGTTTTTTCTCTCTGTGACACTTTGGATCCAGTTGGAATAGTTCCCTTGGAGAATTTGGGAAATCTTGCACTCACTGTAAAATCACAATTATCATAATAACAGGTTTCTGCTTTAAAACCATACTTCCACTTCCATTATCTCATGTGAGCCTCACAACCCTTCAAAAAATAGGCAGAATAGATACCATTCTACCCAATTTAATGGAGAAGGAAACTGAGGTTCAGAGAGAATACGTGGCTTCGATAAAGATGTTCAGCTTGTAAGAAGGAAAGAGCATAAAAGAGGCATCAGTCCTGCTGATGCTAAGATCCGAGCTTTCTCACCCTCTGTGCTATTTTCAAAGAAATGCTTCTTTCTCCATTAGTACAGTTTGAATCCTCAGGACCAAAAAGTGGCAGGCACAGACTGGCACCCAAGCCTGTTGAAGGATTTCTTTTTAAAAAGAGTTTCACTTTTTTACCTGAAAGACCAATGCTCTGGTTTTGAGGCCATCACTATAGGATTCTGTATAAGATGGGCCTTTGTGCTGGTTTATGACATTGCATAGCAGGAGAATGGTCATTTATTGATTTAAAAGGAGACAAGGAGCCTGCAGATGGGATTCCAAGAGGTAGAAAGTGGTTCGGAGAACCACACCATGACACCTCAGCCTCTTTGTTCAGTCTGTGGTTTATACTTTGGAACTCGTTCGCACTACTTCGGCTACTGAACTGATGCACGCTTGTCTGTTTTTTCTTGCCCATTTTGCTGTCTTCTCACTTTCTTTAAGAAAATGGAATTATTGTAAAGATGTCATGTCTGGCAATAGCAAGTGCTCATCAGATATTTGCTGTGGTTGAATAATAATATGCTGACTCAGAGATAAGAGAATAATACCACTAGCAAACATTTATACAGAACTTAATACATGTCAGGTATTACCTTCAGCACTTGCCACGAGTTAACACATGGGATCTTCACAAAAGAAAATCGATGAGGTTATTCAGTATTATTAGCATCATCCTTATTTTGGAAAAAACTGAGGTTAAAGTCCTTGTCTAAGTTGACAGAGCTAAATGCAACAGTCTTAGATTTTGAACCCTGGAAGTCTGACTCTCAATGCTTGGCGGGGGAGGAAGGCCATTTCTTTTGTTTTCGGCAGCTCTCCACACAGAGAAAAGGAAGTTTTGTTCATCTCTCATCTCCAGGTTATCCAGCATGGCAACTAGAAAATAGTAAATTCTCTGTAATCTTTGATAAATTATATAAAGAGACAGTGCTTAATGTCAGGAGAAAACGTCTATAAGCCCCTGACAAGTTTCAGCTGAAAGGCGGGGGTGCAGGATTTTGAAGGCCCTGCCATTGGACGAACCAGTCTGGCCCAGGGATATTGTTTGGGGTGAGCATGCGTAGGAAGCGGCCATGGCTATATACATGAATTACACGTACAGAAAATAGCTAGTAAGCCCCGCCTTGGGTGGAGATTTTAGTATTATAATTAGGTAAGTTGATGCAGAGGCCATCAAGTGTCCTCTGGTCCATTTCAAGTCATTGTCTAGTAGTTTTTCTTATCTCTACCTTCTGGCCTTGAAGGAAAATATCTCAGGCAAGTATCATTAGGAATCAATCAATCAAAAAAACTTAGCAAATGTTCAGGTAATCTAGTTCTTAACTCTTCTGTACCAGCTAGGTAGGCTACAATTTCTTTCACATCTATTCACCTCTTCTACCATTTTCTCCTCAGCCCACCCCTGGCCCTGTCTCTCTCTTTCTTCCACACAATTGAGTAAAGCAAGAAAGGGATCCATGGAAAGTCAGTTCCTCCTGAAAGAAGAGCAGAACTTCTAGCCTAGAAAGTTCCAGGTGTCAGCCCTTTGTTTTGGGGGTGGACAAAAGGTGGAATTAAAAGAGCCTCACCTTCCACAGTCAAACACTTCTGGTTTCTCTTCCAGGACCTTAATAATGATGGCTGTTTTAATAACAACATTTCTTTAAAAACAAAATGAAGTGAGGCCCTGGGAGCTGAAAGAATAACTAACAGACACAGATGGCTATATTCCAAAGCAGAAATAAAACATGAGCAATAACAACAACAGCTGTTACATCTATGCCATACGTCCAAGAATTAGTTACCAGACTAGCTTATTCCCGTATATAATATAACTTATCTCCTCCACAAATTTATGAGTATAGTTTTTGTTCACCCCATTTCACAGAGTAAGAAAACTGAGGCACAGAGATACCCAAGAATACCCAGCTGAGATATTTCTGGCTCCCAAGTTTATGTTATTTCCAGGATTGTAAACAGCCTCCTGGCCTCCAAAACAAAACAAGCACAAGTGTTTTAAAGGAATGGGTAGCTATCTTTATAAATCTACTTGATATCCAAACAGGCACGGACAAGAATCTAACAATTACAGAACCCCTGCTATACACCAAGAGTTTCCAATAACACCAATGGAGGGATGTGAAGGTCTTTAGCTATCTCCCCCAACACACACACACACACACACACACACACACGCTTCTCACCAGTGTTTCTGTATGTGTGAACTGGCAAAATGACATTATCTCAAGCTTACATAAAGTGCCAGCCAACTCCCCTGGACAAACCCCTTATTTTCCCCCTACAAATTTCCAAACCTCACTTATACTGAATTTCTGGAGCTATCTTGAACTTATGTAAATAACCTACAAATACCAAATGTATATATGTTGGATTTATTAAACTCCCATACAGAAATTATGGGAAATACTGAGGGTTTCTGTACTACAGCACTTGTGTTAATTTAACGTAACCCTGAGAATTGTGTCTATTTTTTCATTTTACAGATGGGAAAACGAACCCAAAGAAGTAAGGCGATGTGCATGATGTTCCACACCTGACAAATGGTATCACTCAAAAATGACCCCAGATCTATCCAGTGCCAAAACCCATGCTTTTGTTTTCTCTTTGGTTTTCTATTTAAAAAAAAAACAAAAACAAAAAAAACCTGCTTTTTCTAAATTATGAAAGTAACATGTATTCATTTCTAGAAAGTTTGGTAAAGACCATAAAGAATAAAGAAGAAGGAAAAAAACCTCAATGACACCAAAATCCAAAGCGAATTAATGACAATATTTTAGCATTTTTCCTTCCAATAATTTGCCATTCAATAAACAGAATATTATCAACTAAATTTTTTCACTTGTTTTATTGCAAACATCAGTCCACGCCATTAAAAATTCTATAAAAACTTATTTTTAATATCTATATAATATTAAATGTATGCATAATAAATCAACCTTGTTTATTGTTGAGACATTTAGGCCATTTCTGATTTTTAACAATTATAAATTGTACTGGAATAAAACCCTGAATACATAGACCTTGGGCTGAATTATCAATGATTTACTTAGGACTGATTTCTATTATTACATGTTACTGCTTTTCTTAACATTAAGACCCTCCCCGACACACACCATCACCACCACCCCAGAATCTCTTCTTCTGCCTCACTTTTAAACCACTGAATCAAGTTATTATTATATATATCTAGACCCCAGGTTCAGCAAACAGTGCAAAGAGTTGAGAACTTGGAATCAGAAAATCTGGGTTTACTTCTCACTGGTAAGAGTGACAGTGGCTCACCTGACCTGAGGTCTTCAGCCAGTGTTTTCACAACTAAAAACTGGAACATTTAAAAGTACCTCCCTCACAAGATTAATGTGAGGATGAAATCAGATAAAGCATGTGACCAGGGTCTTATAAATCATCATGTGTTCTAGCAAATGTCAGTTGCTATTACCTTGAGGTGTGTTGACAGATTTAGACAGCTTTCAAAAGGAAATAAAAGAGAAAAACTGGTTTACCATTGAGATGCCTCTTTGGTAAATCTAAACTTTTCTTTAAAAAAAAAAAAAGTCTTTTAGAACAGTTGAAAAGTCCTAGGGAGAAATAACAGCTGTCAAAAAGAGCATTTCCCAAGTCCACCAAGCATTCACGTCATCCTAAAATTTTGAAAGCTTCTGCTCACGTGTTCAATTAACAAATCTAATTGTGTCCATTTACTGGCATGTCAAAGAGCGCGGGAACCCAATCCACCTGGAGGCAGAACAGGAGTTATGAGACCAGAGCCCAGCCCCTCCTCCCCGGGGGCGGGCAGCAACATCCTGCCGCCCTACGATTGGCCCCAGCTCTTGACTAGGGACACATAATAATGGAGGATGCTGCTAAGAGACCAGCCAGCAGGGAGAGGAGACGTGAAGAGAGAAAGGTAGTCCCAGGGAAAAAGGTGGTCCAGCCTTCATCAGGGCAGAAAAAACTAAGAACAGACAGAAGTGAGAGGATAGGGAAATGCTCACTATCAGGTTTGGGAAGAGATAACTAGGCTAAAAGGAAGTGCTCTGTGCAGACACCATACTCCCATAGGATAAAAGAGGAGGAAAGGGTTAGTGTGTGGTCCAGCCACAGGCAAGGAATTAGAAGTTTCAGGAGTCCACCCAGGAATATCAAGAGTTCAACAACGATGAAGTTTGAAGAAAACGATGCCGGCGATAGGAGGCAGGTAGGGAAGAGTCAGCCATACCTGGGGGAGAAGCATCAGGCAAATGGGAAACCAGTAGCGAATGGGATAGCCGAGGTCTCCATAAAGCAGGAGGCAAACGGGAGGTGTGACGTGCCCAGGAAAAGCCTCAACACGTACAGCTGGCAGGAGATCCAGAGACACAATCAGGAGGCCGACCTGTGGCTGGTGATCAATCGCAAGGTCTACAACGTTACTAGCTGGGTCAGCAGGCATCCAGGTGGGCAGCGGGTCCTCAACCACTATGCCGGGGAAGACGCCACGGTAAGGACAAAGCTCTGCCTTCTTTCTCTTCCAGCGGCAGGGTGGCTGGGACCTTGGCTGTCTTCCCAAAAGCAAGTCAAGTACATGTTCAAGCTCCACAATGGCTGATCTCCTCCCAAACCAATTTTTCAGGATTCCTATCCAGCAAGTATTTGGAAGCAATGGAAGCCTCAAAGTCTAGCTATTGTCTGGACCTGGTTTGGGATGAGCTCAGACGTTGATATTGGATACTGTGTGTATTCTGGCGCTGGTTTTGTTCTTGGGGTTTTGTTTTGAAATGGGAGTCACTGTTTTGTAAGAAGAAAGGTACAAATAGGTGAGTAAAATCTAGGGAAGAAAGCACCCAACTATAAGTTTCTCAGGCTCTTATAATAATAATTGGAGTGTCTAAAAGAAAGCCAGTGATTCATCTGTTAGGTATCAAAGTGCTGTTAATAACGATGATGAATACCTGCAATGACATAGGCTTTTGGACTTTGCAGAGCTCTTTTGCATCACGTAGCTCATTCCGTGTGATACAGGTAATACAACCCACTCTTGTGGAAGAAGAAATTAAAATCAGAGAGGTTAATTAACTGGCCCAAGGTTACCCAGCAGCAGACCTCAGATTCAAAAACTTTATCTTTCTTAACTTCCAGTCTTTTCACTTTTTTTTCATTGCTTCTCATCACCCTCCCCCACCAAACCAGCTAAGGGGGGAAAAAAAAAAACTATAACATTTATTGGATGCCTAGATACCTTAGACACATTCAAATACATCTCCTTACTTAAACCTCCCATGAGGAAGATGACTATTATGCCTGTATTACAAATGAGAAAATTAATGTTCAGAGGGGCAAATAATCCACATAGCCAGCAAGTAATAGTGCCAAATTTTGAAACCAGGTAGGTTTTTTACCATAAAGCCCTTTATAGTTGAGTCTTTACAAGTAAAATGTCCATTTAACATTTGACAAGGAGGCCTCTCAAATCCTTAAATGCATTTAGGAAGCCCTTTTAAAATAGTCTATAAGGGAGTTTGTTTTATTCTAATTAAGAATTTTATTCTCCTCATTATGCAGCTAAAGCAATGGCGAATAAGAAGGGCTAAATGACTAACTCAAGATCAGAAATTAATATATGACTGAATCATTAATATATGACTGAAAAATCAATACGGTAATACCTTGGTTTGTGAGCATAATTCATTCCAGAAACAAACTACTCATATTACAAGACATCTGTCGTTTACCACGTTAAAATGTACTGGAAATGTTTGCTCGTCTTGCAGAACACTCGCCAACCACGTTACTTGCAATCCAAGGTTTTACTGTATATGAAATTTAAACCCAGACTTTTTTTTTTCTTTATTGCCCTTGTTTTCACCATTTAGTATGTAAACTCTCCAACTGGTTTCAAAGTATAGGATTGGAAACATGTTTCACTAGGAGCCACCCTATAAATGATGCTAATAATAACAAACTACACAATCTCCTGGCAAATCTGCAAAGTGAGCAAGGTTTTGTCTTTGGATGCTATGGACACCTTTCCCCGCCCCCCAGTTTCTCATCTCCCTTCTGTAAGCAGGTTCTTTTTCTACCATCTCCCTGTCTTGATCCTGCAGTCAGAGGACGGCCTTTCTGAAAGACCTTAATACATCTCCACCACCTGTGTCAGATCTGATACTTTTCCTAAACAAAGTCCAACCTTCTCTTGGGATGAGCATGCACTTGTAGCAAGGGGTGAGAGTATCCTGTGTGTCCGAAAGATAGATACTGTGTAGGAATCCAGAGAGCTGAGGGGAGAAGAATTGAGGTGGAAAGCATGCATGCAAGAATACCAGGAGAAAGGTTAACAAAAATAAAGTGAAAAAAACCAAAACCACCACAGATCCCTATCTAGCCCATCCCCTCACTCCCGCAACTCGGAGAAAAAATGTGGATGATGATGTTTTGTATCACAAGTCATAGAATTAGCTCAGAGGCTGTGTTGGCAAAGATGTGGGTCTTGGCCACCTTGAGAATCACGGAGAGACTCAGTTGGCTTGAGGCAGCTCAGGTGATAAATCTGCCATTTGCTCATTATTTTTACCTCCCAGGAGTTAGGAAAAGACCATGGTTTTTGCATCCAATTCTAGCCAATGAGGAGGGATTGATTAATAAACTAGAAACTATCAGAAGCCTAGAGGAAAATATCATGCACCTCAGGATTTACACCCTGAGAACAAAAATCCTGGGCCTGGTCAGTCATGTACCTTTGACTTGAGGAAGGTAAATCCAAAAATGTTCAGAGAAAAGATTCTCCAAAGGAAGATGGCTCAGGAAGACTGGAGGGTGCCTGGAGAATTCTGACAACCACCATACTCCATGGCTGCTAATCGGGGAGCCTGGGCTTTGAGATCAGTCATATGGACCTGGGAAAGTTACTGGACTTATCTGAGCCTCAGCGTCATGGTTTGCAAAATGAGAATGATATTACTCATCTATCTGGTTTATGGTACATGGGACTGATGCTTGTAAAATGTTTAGGATAATACCAGACACTTCAATGAAGTTTCATTCGATTGTAGCTACTACCATTCATATCACCAGCATTTGTAGCCTCAGAGATGTGGCTGTTACTTCCTGCTTACCAATAGCTTAGAAATCCTGATTATATTTGGTGCCACCTGAATGGGAACAGAGGGTACAAGGTAGAGGGTATCATGCTGTCTAGGGAAGGAGGGAAGAACATAAAGTCAGAGGATCTGAGGTCAAATGTTCACTCTCTAACTGAGGAGATCCATGTAGGTTTGTAGGTTATGCCCTGACAGAGAAATATGGGCCTAAGTGTGGTCTCTGTGTGCCAGCGCTGGGCCCACGGTGCACCTGCCCGGAGGGGCACCTTTTTCTTCTTTACACTTGCGAGGGGCCCAGCCTAGTGATCAAGAGTACAGGTTTGGGGACAAAGCATGTCCTGAGGAGGCTGCTGAAGTTCTTGGAGCCTGGCACCCTCATCTAGAAGGTGAGGCTCACAATCCCTTCATAAATGGCAGCTCTTGTGTTTTATCACTTAGTTCTTCTGAGATGGGTTAAAATTTCCTCCAAAGAACTTTACCAAGAAAAATAAGTCTATAAAACAGAATTGGTGCACCAGCTCTTATTATTACACATCAGAGATATCTGATTGTTTTCAAACTATGTGATTGAAAACTAATGGTGCTATTAACTGGAATCCAGGCCCAGGCCTCCTCACCTGAAACAGCTCACCTGGGAAAAGCCAGAGGTACCCTGTAAGTCCAAGAAGAATTATTTATATAGCTTGTAATACATCCATAGGATGTGTTATTCTGCAACCATTCAAATGAGGATTACAAAGCATCTTGTGATAGGAAATGAATAAATAGCCACAAGGTCTAAGGTGACAGTGTGTTCCAGGCGCCACAGGAGAAGCACGTGCAATCTTGGGACGCGTGAGCATGAGCTACATGTTCAGAACACAGACGGCAGGTTTATCACCCTGCGTGCTGGTCAGCCCACGCCTTATCTCTGGACACCACCCTCTTAGAGGGACGCTGAGAAACTCAAGTTCTTTCCCACCAGAGTCAAAGGCCAGCATGACAGGGAAGGGATGACAAGAAATTAGAGGGAGCAGAGCAAACTCCATTTCAACTATTTGGAGGACTGCAGTGTGGAGGAGGGTAAATTTCTGTGCAGCTCCGAAGGAGCGCATCCCAAATGGCTTAGGACGCACAGAGCCAAGAGAGACAGGTGAAGCACGGGGAAGGTGGGTGGGCGCAGAGGAAGAGCACAGATATGACTCATGCCACGAGTGAGTGCCCAGCCACGCGGGGCATCCCGCAATTCCTTTGTCTTAGCACAATATTGGCAAACAGTATGGGCTCAGCTATCTCGTTTTGCAACCAATACATGTATCTGCCATTTGTTTTTTATTTTCTGAATTTTGGGAATTGCAGCCCACCTCAGATGGACGAAATAATGATAACATAAAAATGCAGTCATTTATTGACCCTTGATACTAACGCCTAAGCTCATAGCCACTAGGTTAGATCCTCAAAAAGATTTTAGAATAAACAATTGAAGGTTATCAATGAGGCCATGGGGCAGACTGGGGAGTATTATTATCCTCATTTAGAAAAAAGACCGAGGCTTGAGAAATTGAGTAATTCCCCTAATATAAACAGCCTACTCCTGTTACCCTACACTGTGCCTTAGTGTGAACGAGGAAGTCTTTGGGAGACTGCAGCAGATTCCACAAATGGAGTGAGTCCCTGCTGGATGTAGTCCATCCACCTGCCCCAGGCTCGGGACCTTCCTGCCGGGCGCAGCCTGTATCCAGCACTTCAAGTGTAAAGGCAGGACTCTGTCTCAGGCCTCCTGACTTCGCATACTTCTCGCCTCCTCTAAGGATCATACAGCTTCAACAGTGAAGCGTATTTCTTCATCCCCCATTAATAACAGCAAAAGACTAGCAGGATTTCCAGGCTCTTTGTGAAAGCACAGTAACAACCCTGTCTTTCCTGTTTTGGTGCTGTTTTGGAAATAATCAGTTTTGAGATAAGCTATGATATAAAGTTATGAATCGGTTAAAAGAGTGGAGGTGCTGCTTGAGAAGGAAATCAGAAAAGGCTAGCAGATGAATATGAGAAATGCAACAGCCGCAAAAAGATCAGAAAATGAGGGACGCTGAGGGCATCTCTTAAGACCTGTGTCCTCTGAGCGCAACACTTTGATCAGCCCAACGTTCTCCTTGTTAGAAAAACCCTATAGTCACCTATTCTTTCACCTGTTCCCTTATTCCTTAGGCATCCGTTGATCGCATGCCATATTCCAGGCATAGCACTCGATGGTGTGTATCATTTCATCAACGGGATATGGTCCCAGTCTTCAAAAAGCTCAAAGACCGCTAGAGAAGGGGTGAATACACAGATTCTTTACCACATAATTTGAAAAGTTCTAGGAACAACGTGTCATGGGAGCCCAGAGGAGATCATTAATAGGGTTCCTGCGCTAGTTAAGGGAGGCTCATATTTCCTCTGGATCGTGAAGGGTGGAGAGGGGCTTCTGTGTAGACAAAATGGAGGAAGGCAGTCAAGGCAAAGGGAACAGTATGTGCGAAGCCTCAGATCCATAGAGGAGCCTGGAATGCTTATCGAATGGGGAGAGACCCACTGGACAACATGGTGAATGAAGGGTATGGTGAAAGCTAAGCCTAGAGAGATAGGTTGGAGCCAGGGGCAAAGTGATTCACGTGATTAAAACCTAAGGTGGGGGAGACACCATTCTGTTCAGCAGATACATACTGATTTTAGCACCATCCCCCCAAACAATCTGGTGTTGCTCCTCCCTTGAGATGCCTTTCAAAAACAGAATTATGCATGTATAGGTGGGAATGGACCTTTGGAGCTTCATGGCTTTAAAGTCACAGAGCTCTGAGTTCAAATCCTGACTTCACTATTCACTGTGACATTTTGGCCAAGACATTTCTCCCCTCTGAGAGTTGGTGTCTTTATCTTTACAACAGCAGTGATTTGACCTCACAGAACTAAGATGATGACTGTGAATTGGCCCACAGAGTGCCTTGTACATAGGATACACTCAACAACTGTTGGCCGCATCACTTCTCCCCTTCATTTTACCCCCTCTCCCTTCAGCAGGAACATACTTGCCCAAGAATGTTGATGACAGAACCCATTTTTGCAGGTCTTTCAAGAAGAGGATTTCACAACTTATTCAATATTCAGTCTCTATTAGGAAATTCTTTGAAATTAAATATTCTAAGACCACCTAAGCTTTTTTGTTGATGTACTGATGAGCTGCCCATCAGTACAATGGAAAGAGTTCCACAGAGCAGGGCAAAGCCTACTATTCTAGAAGAATTTGTACGTCTTCAGTATCCGTTATCAGAGTATTAACCTGTGAACTTTGCTGGGGGTCAGAAGAAACAATGAACCCAGAAGAATGTTATTGTCAGCACTGTTCTAGGACTCTGTATGACTGCTCAGATGAGATTACAATAGCTTACCTCTCCTTTACACTCTGATCTTAATCTATCAGAATGTTTTCCATCTTAATCCACTCATTTTAAACAACAAGCAGAACATGATTTCTCAATATGGATCACACTGAAATACTTTAATCACCTTCTTATGCACTGAATGACTCTCTACCTGGTTAGGGGAACTAAGTTTTAGAATCATTGAATGTAACAGTTTAAAAACACCTTTAAAATCATACACTTCAAGGCCAGCCGAGTAGCGCATTGGTTGAGAGTTGGCTTGGGACACCAGCTCTGAGCAGCAGGGCCCCGGTTCAGATCCCACATGAGGGCCAGTGACGGTGCGCCCTCTACAGCTAAGATGGTGAACAGCAGCTCGACCTGGAGCTGGGCTGCTGTGAGTCGCCAGTGAAGGCGTAGGCTGCAGTGGGGCTGGCCAGCAGCGGACATGAGCTTTCACGAGCTGCTGTGAGCCGCAGTGAGTGGCCATCCAATGGCTGGTGAGCGACTGCCTCACCCAGGAAGAGCGCAATGATAATACCAACATGGGACAGTGAAGCCGCGTCCTCCACAACTAGACTGAAGAACAAAAGGACAGCAACTTGTCTGTTCCCCTTCCCCGATTCCCCAACGCTGTTCCCTCCCCCAGTTCCCCAATAAAATCTTTAAAAAAAAAATCATCTACTTCAGCATTTTCCAAGAGGGTTCGAGGAGGTATGCAGAAGCAGAGCCCGTACTGGTTCTAGCAGATACAAAGCCCTTTTTACATCATTGAGTCTAGGGGAAGTAAGTCTAAAAAGCTGATACTGCACCCTTCCAATTAACCTTAGTCGTTATATAAGTACCTTCTTACAAGTGGGCTCATATGTACTTTTTTTTTAAAGATTTTTTTTTTTAATTGGGGAACTGGGGGGATGGGAACAGTGCTGGGGAATTGGAGGGAGGGGAACAGACAAGTTGCTATCGTTTTGTTCTTCAGTCTAGTTGTGGAGGACGTTGCTTCACTGGCCCAAGTTGGCACCATCATTGCGCTCTTCCTGGGTGAGGCAGATCAGTCACCGGCTTCTGGACGGCCGCTCACTGCAGCTGCTGGCCGCTCACGCTGGCTGCTGGCTACATACGGTAGCCCATGGCAACCCACTGTCACCATCGCCGGCGACTCATGGCAACCCAGCTCCAGGTTGAGCTGCTGTTCAGCATCTTAGCTGTAGAGGGCAGTGTCACTGGCCCTCATATGTGCGATCCAAACTGGGGCCCTCTGGTGTCCCAAGCCAGCTCTTAACCAATGCACCACTCGGCTGGCCCTGTACTTCTTAGTTATATCTAAAGTTGCTCTGTGATGCAAAGATAGAGAATTCACTATCTTCACTAAATTAATTCAGAGCTCACAACACATTAGGCATTAGAATATAGGAATAAAATCTCTGAATTGCTGTCTTGAAGAGAAGGTAGGTAGTAAGTTCTTATCACTGGAAGTATACGTATAAAAAAAGATAGCTAACATGCACTGAGAGCTTACTACATGCCAATCAGATTCTAATCAATGCACTTAGTCCTTATAATGCCTGTTTGAATTGAGCAGCTATTATCATCACCCCCATGTGAGAGAAAAGTGAAGCACGGACAGGTCGAGACTTGTCCACAATTACACAGCGGGTAAGTGGTGAAACCAGAATTTAGACATAGGGGGCTGCTTCCGGACCCATTTTCTTAATCCATACTGTGCAACACCAGCGCTCCATGGTAATGTGTATGGTTTCCATGTAGTCAAGTTACAACCTTGGTTATAGACCTTCATTTTAATCACTCCCATTCTCAAAGCCATAACAGGAAGTCCGGCATCTTCCTTTTGGAGAACCCCCCTTCAAAAACGATTTAAATCCCTGGGCCAGAAGAGACTATCTCTCTCTCTCTCTCTTTTTTTTTTAATTGGAGAACAATGTGCTTTTCCAGGACCCATCAGCTCCAAGTCAAGTAGTTGTTTCAACCTAGTTGTGGAGGGCGCTACCCAGTGGCCCATGTGGGGATCAAACCAGCAACCTTGGTGTTATGAATATGGTGCTCCAACCAACTGACTTAACTGGCCACCCCCAGAAAAGACTATCTCTTATTTCCACATATAAGCAGGACATAGGGACCACCGCTGCTTCTCATAGCCACTTGGAGTTGCTACTGTAATTGGACCTGAGATGAAAAAATATAGTTGGTCAGCTCAGTTCCATGCCCGGCTGTTGCAAGCCCTGCAGAGAGTGCCCTCGTGTTTCTCAGGAAGAGTAAGGAGATGCCTTTGGCTTCAGCCAAGAGTGTGCTACTTCAGATAAGCCAGAGCCCCAGGGCTATGCTCCCACACTCTCTTACACATTGGTCTTAAGCAACCATCAACTTTAACCTGTCTTTTGTTGGAAACAACTTAATTCCAGGGCCTCATTGCCTGGCCCTTGGATCAGAACCAAGAGGCAGACTACTGGGAGAAGTGATTTGCATCACCAGTCTGGGTTGCTGCACGCCCTCAGTGGTGTGAGCAACATCCACACCAAGCCTAATGCTGCACTTTAAAGATGTATCACGGCCCATAAACTCAAACCAGCTATCTCTCCTGGTGCTCAATAAAATAGATAACAATGCTTGGGAATAACCCGGCTGCGCAGGACTTGCTAGGGAAGCCGGGCATTTGGTAGGCAGATTCCAGGTTTCATGGAGGATTTCCAAGGGTAATTTTGCTCAATCAACTTGAAGCATCAACCTGAAGTTAGAAGCAGATGCTCAATAACAGAGTCTGTGCTGGTTCCCAAGACGGGCACAAGATGAGGTAAGAAAGGGGGCTAATCTGTGATGGACATGCCTCTTCTAAGCCTCTAACAGGTCTCTCTATTTACAGGATGTTTTCAGAGCCATGCACCTGGAGCGTGATGTTGTTCAATTGTACCTTAAGCCACTGCTCATCGGAGAGCTTGCCCCAGGAGAGCCCAGCCAGGAGAGAAACAAAAACGTGAGTGAGGTCCCAGGACTCAAGAATATGTGGAGGGATGGGGCCAAGGTATATTTCAGGCCCAACTTATCACTTCCTTTGAGAAGCCAGCCATCATGCCTGGGTGGGTCTGCAATAGCATGAATGAGTGGATTCCACACATTTCAAAACAATGTCATCTTCCCACTCAGAACTCCAAAGCCTCTGTGAAACAAAGGACTGGAATTTTTGGTCTTCTGCCAACTAGTCATTCCACGTCTGCAAACACCTACTTCAGGCCAGGCAACTCACACATATAATTTTTCTTTTCAATGATTGCTTGTAATTATTTGTTTAATGTCTGTGTTCCCCCACTAAACTAAGTTCCATGAGAGCATAGAGTATGTCTATTTTGCTTCTCCTTGTGTCCTCAGGACTCATTTTCACAGGATCAGACATGTAATAGGAACTCCATAAATAGCTGTTGAATGAAAGATGTGACTATATCCTAACTACAGCCCTTTTTACACTTGGGGAAATTACAGCCCAGGGACAATAAATTCCTCTCTGAAAGTCCCACAGCTGATGTGTTGAAGAACTTCTTTCTGGCCCCAATCCCTTAGGTATTCCCAAGGAAAGGCATCACTCTTCCTTTCTCTACCTGAAATACTGACTCCCAAAGGAAAGGGTCTCTGTAAGACTAAAAATTCAGTAGGATGGTTTTACATAGAGCTTAAAGGGATTTTAATATTGAGCATTTCAATTTTTTTGCAATTTATTTTTTTTAAAAAAAGCTTACATTCATTCTTTTTTACAGCAATAAAAAGGTATTTATTGGCTTGTTAGTTTTTTTATTATATTAGTTTCAGGTGTACAAAACAGCGTAATGATTAGAAATTTACACCCCTCATCAAGTGATAACCCCCGCCCCAATTCTACTACCCATCAGACATCGTATATAGCTGTTACAATACCATTGACTCTATTCCCAGTGTTGTACTTTACATCCTGTGACCATATATATATTTTTATAGTTGACATTTATATGGAGAATATAATCAATAATGTAAAGGTCATGTAGGGTACCAGATGGGCACTGGACTTATCACGGGGATCACTTCATAGATCGTGTAGATGCCCAACCAATGTGCTGTACACCTGAAGCTGATGTAGAACAATACTGAATGTACTAGGTTGTCGGAAAAGTCATGACGTATTTTTTTTTTTATATTTCGTTGCAAAAATACGTCATGACTTTTCCGACAACCCAATAGTATAATTCTTTTGAAATAACTTGTGTGAAGTGCTGATCCATCTATCCCTGTGAGGCAGATAGAATAGGGTTAGTTCCTGCTCTATGACATCAGGAAGCAGGGCCGGCCGAGTGGCTCAGTTGGTTAAGAGTTAGCTTAAGAGCGCGAGCTCTGAGCAACAGGGCCGCCAGTTCAATTCCCACATGGGCCAGTGACGCTGAGCTGCCGCTGAGCTGCCAACAGGTGGCAGGGTGGCTCAGCTGGTGAGAGCACGTGCTCCTAACAACAAGGCTGCTGGCTCGACTCCCACATGAGATGGTGGCTACACCCATCCGCAACTAAGATTGAACACAGCACCTTGAGATAAGAGGCCACTAGCTGCCAACAGGCAGCCAGATGGCGACTGGCGCCCTCCACGACTAAGATGGAAGAACAACAACTTGGCTGGAACCCTTCCCCCAATTCCCCAATTAAAAAAGAAACGCGGAAGCAAACTCACAGAGGGAATCTGAACATACAGAACTGGTTACGTGCAGACCTGACACAAACACATAAGCTCACCCCTTGAGTCCACCTGCGCCCCGCAAGGCTGTGTCAGGAAGCATCGTGGCTCAGAGGCGTGGGCCCTGGGGGTGGGCAGCTTAGACTCCCAACAGCCCTGCCTCACATTGTATGGGTTTAGGACACTTACCAAACCTCTGCAGCTCAGTTTCTCTCTCTATAAATAGCAACAAGAGCACCAATGTCATAAGCGTTGCTGGGAGATTATTGAAAGAGTTAGAGGCATTTACAGTGCTCAAAACAGTGTCTGGCACACAGGAAGTTCTCACTAAATATTAGATGCAATCATTACCATGAACTCAGTGGTGACACTAGTAACTGACAACCCTCCAGAGATGTCCGCTTCATTTAGAGAAGGATGCTCTAGGTTGGAAAAGGAAGATGATGCAAAGCTTAGCTGTGTTTCCTAAAAATATTTTCAAAGGAAAAAAAATCCCACTAGGGCTAAGAGCTATAAGCTAATCATTCAATATCTAATGGTCTACCATAAATTTTCTTTAGTTTTATATATATATACATATATATATATATATATATATATATATATCTCCACATACATGTACTAAAGGAAATTGATGGTAGTTACCTCCAGAGACCAACACTCTTTCTTAGACAATGAATAATTATCTTATATTTACCCAGATATATGTATTTAGATAATTAGTGTTTGGGCACAAAACTGTGTATCAGGAAAAGTAGATTTAAGTCCAGCCTCAGTCACTGAATTATTATTTTCAGACCGCCACTCTTCTGGGCTTTGGTGACCCCCTCTCTAAAAGGGGGGGGGCAATAAATGGGCTGGAAAACATGAGCAGGCTGTGAGGCACCCTAGAGATGACCTATTAAAATGATCTATGGCCTCCAGAATGCCAGGGTTGATGAGGGCTTGATAAATGAGTCTATCCAGACTTTTCCCAGGCAGTGAATTCTTTAAAAGTTGCATCAGTGAATTTTTAAATGAAACTTTTGGATTCTAGAATTATGCTTATATCTTTTTTTATTTCAAATTTCTCTTCTTACAGCTGAACAGTCCTGATCTCTTTCTTGTACTATGATCTCTTTCTCAACTGTCCTGGTTTCAACCCTATTACAGTCATTAAGCTAAGCAGTATCTCCTCCCAGCCCTTGCACTAACTCTCCAGTGTGATGTGGCAAGCTCATCAACCAATGCTAACGTTGTACATACACACACATGCACATATGCCCAGTACATGTACATGGAACCAGGACCCCTTCAACCAGCAGACACACTAATGCCACCAGAGACCCTGCCTGTTTTCTGGGGATCCACTGACCACCTTACAGGGAATATTACATCCAATGAGCTAATCTAAGTTACCTATATTTGTCTGTGTTCATCATCTCCTATGAATGAGCCCTTTACACATTTAAACAACTATAGAAATCACTTTGTAAACGGTACCAGTAACTATAGTAACACAGGCCCATATAGACAGCAAAGCTCCCCAAAGCATAACCAAAGATCAATCGGCATGTGAAATAACACTGATGATTTAAAAGGCAACTGTTAGACTTCTGTATCTCTTTACTGATCACCACCATCCCACAAAAAAAAAAAAAAAATAGACACTAATTGTGAGTTCCATAACAGTTTGAGGACAGTTTGCAAATCACTACCTGTCTAGCTCTTCTCTAGAGAAAAAACAAATTATAATATTTTTCAAAGGTTTTTGTTCATTTTTTTTTGTTGTTAGTTCTGCCCAATTAAATGTATTAATCTAATAAATTTCCATTCATAAAATTGAGGTATTAATAAGTTAATAAAACAGGCTGTTAATTATGCTCATTTGTGTTCCATTTCTCCCGAAGAAACTCATTTCTTCCTTATTTACTTCACAGTCCCAGTTGGTGGAAGATTTCCAAGAACTGCGGAGGACATTAGAGACTATGAATATGTTCAATGCCAATTTCATGTTCTTTTTTCTTCACCTCGTCCAGATCTTAGTTCTGGAAGCCGTTGCTTGGCTAATGCTGTGGTATTTTGGCACTGGCTGGCCAATTACAATATGCATTTCCCTTCTTCTCACAATTTCTCAGGTAAGCAGGCATCCTAAGCTCAGGCAGGGGGTTCAGGGAGAGGCTCAGATTTTTTTCTTCTCTCTTTTTGATTGGTGTCAGCAGCTGCCTGATACCTCCTGGCAAACTACTCATGTGTTGGACACCAGCAGGTCATCAGGCTGTGCTGGGCCTGAGTTCTCTTGTCCGTAAAGTGGGGATAACAATGTTTTGTGAAAACATTCTGAAGAGGACTAAACACGTTCATGTGTACAACATCTAGCACAGTGACTGGCATAATGTAAGTATTTAATTCATGACAGTTGCTACTCTTGCCCAGTTTATCCGCACAAGTTCAGTCACTGAAGTTCTGTTCTCAGCCCCTCTCTTTACCTTGCATTCATTAACCAAACGACATTTATCAATGCATCAGACCATGGCTTCTTCAAGAGCAGAGAACGCAACTTATTATGTGAGAATAAGAATGTGTGGATTCTGCTATAAATGACAACCAGCAGCTGGCACCTAGCAGGGCATTTTGGAAACCTGTGTTGAATAAAGTATGACTCCCTGAACGGAGCCTTCTATGAGCACACTTTTTGGGCACAGAGGGAAATGCACCTGATCCCTGTCATCCGGTGAGGGAGATTGACATTCAAATAGCCAAACGTATTACATGGCAGAACGGCACTGGTGCCACAGGAAGGAATAAGCACATGCTGTTGGAGCAGGAAGAGGCATCGCATTCCGACTTGAACGACTGCAGAAGGTTTCATGGAGAATCGACATTAATGTCAATGCCAGAATCTTTTCAGTTAACTTTTTTCTCGAAAAGCCAGCTTGCACTATGCTTTGAAAAGTGACTTTGGAAGCAAGAAAGGAAGCACACGTGTGTTTGGTTCTTAGCATAGGCCGGGCGCTTCGCACGCACTCAAGTTGCACAGCAGCCCCATGAGTAAGGGTTCTTATCCCTGCTTATCAGATGAAAACCTGAGGTTCAGGGCTCCTGAGAACTTGCCAAGCATCGTGCAGCTCGAAAGCGGTGAAGAGCAGTCAGGAAGCCAAATCTCCCTGACCCCGAAGGCCATGCCCTTTCCACCCCACATTGCAAGATTTTGACAGCGGCAAGGAGAGTGTTCTAGGCTAAGAGAACCACCTGCACAAAGAGACAGAAGCGGGAAAGAGTGTGACAGGTGTGGGAGATAGAAAGTAAACGACTTGAGATCAGACCAGATCGCCCGCTGTTCTCACATGGGCTCCTGAATCAACAAGCAGGCAGTTATTCATTTCTTCTTGCCTTCCCAACTTGTCTAACAACAAATTCATCTCTTCTAGGCTCAGAGCTCATTTTTACAGCATGATGTAGGGCATCTTTCCGTATTTAAGAAGTCCAAGTGGAACCACCTGATGCAAAGATTTGTGATGTGCCATCTCAAGGTACAGGATGCTCGGGGTGTGGATGGGATTCTCAAAGGGCATTTCCTAAGGCAGTGGTTTCCAAGTTTGTGCACTGATATCAGTAAAAACTGTTTGTGCATATCCCACAAATAAATATAAATATACTAACAATGTAGGTACTATACATACGTTAATGTGTAAACATTATGTTATATATGCTCAATTTTGAATTTTAAATTTTTATGAAACGGTTTATAATATATATGCTAAAATTCGAATTTTAAATTTTTATGGAAAACATTTATTTGTATTTAAGAAGTTCAAATATTTTTTTCTTACCCCAATAAACTATTTGGCCCAATCCCTGGCACCCCGTTAAGGAACTGCCTCACAGGAGAAAGATGGTGCCTTTAAAAATGAAGATGTGCTATGTAAGATGGTGCGTGGGAATATTCTTAGAAGGGCTTTGAACATTTACTGCTGGGAAGCTAGTGGAATCCAATCAGGCTGATTAATCCTGGAAGAGTGGGGCTGTAAAGAAATAAAGGAAGAGATGCCGGAGAATAGAGAAAAGGGAAGAGTGGTCAAGGAAGATCAGAGGGCTCTGTTCAAGAGTTGAGGATTGCCACACCCAGAATGATGGGAAAAGGTGGCGATGATGGCAGTTAACCTTATCCCCGCTAACCTAAGTTCCAAGAGGGCAGGCACATTGTCCTATGCACCACTGCAATGCAACACCAGCCGAGTGCCCAGCTCATAGTAGGCCTTCAGTGAGCATTGGGTGAATGAGTGGATGAATGAATGAATGAACCCACCAAGGTCTGCTAAGAGTGGCTTCTAGTCCTGACTCTGACAATGCTCACTGAGGGACCTTAAGTGACTCGGTCTATCTCTGGCCCTCGGTGTTCTCATCTGTAGTATTAGGAGTTAAACTGGATCTCTGCTTTTCTATAACATTCTAGGATTTGGTGACTATGGACATTGCTTACTCTGAGGAATGCCACCGAGCCTTCCGCTAAGCCAAATCCTTGCCTTTGAGCCAGGCCCTCTTAGGAAACACTCATAAGCCCTGACTCAGAGCCTGCATCTGTTTGTCCTTAATGCCGTGGTTTTATATTCAATTGGAAGATACTTGGTTAGAATCTTTTCCTGCTCTGTTTTCATTTGAGCAAACTGAGAATTAAATACATTAAAATAACAGAGAGCTAGATCAGGATTCATATTAGAAACATGTCTGTCCCCCAAGCAGAATGAAGAATACATTGTCATTTTACGTGACACGTTTCACTTAATGGGAAAACTCCTGTAGGCGCACTATTCTGCCCTTTATTCGCCAGGGTTAAATAGATGAAGTGTTTCTGGATTTACTCGGAAATCTTCATCAGAGAACTAAAGCAGAGATGGTTTCTTCTGTCACTGAGAGATTCAGGTAATGGGCCCTCCCACCCTCCCTTCCCTGCTCTGAGGAAGTCGAAGGAAAAGCGAGACTCATCTACTCTGGCGATAATTGGCAGTTGATTTGGTGCCAGTGTGTGGAATATTTCAAATCAGCCCACCCTTGCTGGTGCTTTTTTTTTTTTTTTTCAAATCATTGATTTCCCATTGGTCCAAATTTACACACCACTCTCTCACTATAAGTTGTGTCTCCAGAAACAACTTTGCACTAGTTGAAATGAATATAATTTTGGTGACTTGTGACTAGAGTAAAAAATAATGGGAAATGGCTGTAAAAGAAAACCAGGTGCACTCTGCCTTTTTGCAGGTAAAACCAGTGACTCATAAGCAAAATGAATATAGGCTTCAGCTATGTGCAGAAGAGAAACTTACCTGTGGAAGGACAGGAGGTTACAAAGAAAATTATATTATAAACAGCAACATGGCCGCCTTATACATTCATGACAATTTTAAATTTCTAACTTCACATCCATTTATCCTCCCTCTCCCAGAAAAGGCACTGATACTGACAGATCCTGAGGTTCTTTAGAACTTTCATTCACTAGCTGTGGAAAAAAAACATATATGTCTTTGTGACATTTGCACAATAAAAGAGCCCTTATGAAAATAAACCACAAAATGTCTGCATGCATTTTGGACTTCCGTGAAATGTTAAAATCAAAATGGACTCCTTGTAGCATATTTCTCACCACCCCACCCCCAGTATGCATATTTTGTAAACTGTAAGAATCAAGTGTTATGATAGGGATAAAAAAGCAGAATAGTTGAAATTAAGACCTTCTTTGAAAATCTGGCCTATACCGTTTCCATGACTACATCTTGAAACATTTCTGGGGGGAGGGGTGTCAAGCATGTTATTTCTTGTAATCCTTCCAGTAACCTCATCTGTTTTAGAGTTGAGGAAATTGCCCAAGGCCACACACCTCGTAGCAAGGCTTAAAATGAAGGATGATTTCAGTCCAAAGCCTGGATTCTTTATACTGACCCAACAAAGGCTGTAACATAAGAAATGAGGAATGACTTAGGGTGGTTTCTATGGAACTTGGTGCAGGCGCAGCCTATTTTGCATGAAGCTGATAATCCTCACTTCCCCAGGGATCACTCCCTCTCTTATCTCCAGTAATTGTAGCTTCCAGACAGAGAGGCCAGGGTGGAGCCAGCTGCCTTAGACCACACCCATAATCACTCTGACCCCTGTTCTAGGCTCCAGGACCTTGAGCTGTCAAGATCTGCTCCCTGACCTATAGTGAATCAAAACCTGCCTCTCATATTACCAATTTCCATAGATGCGCACTGGCTAAAGGGTATAGTCAGCTGGTAGAAGGGGCCAAGATATTGGCTCTCAGAAGGTTTAATTAAAAAGAGAATCATTGCTTATCACAGCATCCTTGTTTAATTGTCTACTGCTCCCATTAGATTATATGTTTCATGAGTGTGGGAACCCCATTTGATCATGTCTATCTTTACATTCTAAATACTGCCTAGCTTAGTATTTGATACACAGGACACACTTCAAAATAAATAATGAATGGGTGGATACACAATTATAAGAATGAGCAAATGGTATGCAATTTGATAGGAGAAATACAGTCTGCTGGAGCCCCAGCAAGGGGAATAGAAATTGATGAGTATACGTTGAGTTAAGATATTATGAGACATCCAAAAGGAAATGTTTGCAAAGGGATTGGCTGCTTAAGTATGACATTCAGGAGAGAGACTTAGGCTCGCAAGAGAGAGGTGCCACTGTAAGGATATTAGGGAATGTAAGAAGTGAGGAGAGACTACTGCTCCTGGGGGACTGGGCGTGGGGTGAGGTTGCTAAGAGAAGACTGCAACAAAGACCATTGGAAGGCAAGGCTAACACAGATTTCAAACAAACCCATCCCCTGTACCATAGATACATAGTGTCTGGACCACCACAGTGCAACAGACATATAATGCGAATCACATTAAAATGACATGAGTCATTTTAAACTTCCTAATAGCCACGTTTTAAAAGGTAACTTTATTACTCTACATATATTGACATATCCATGTCAACAGGTAATTAGTATGTAAATTATTAATAAGACATTTTCATTCCTTTTTTTCATCCTGAGTCTTCAAAGTTCAGTATGTATTAGACACTTAGGGCCCACCTTAATTTGGTCATGTTTCAAACGCTCAATAGCCACACATGGCTATGACTACTGTATTGGACAGTGAAGATCTAACACATGTAGAGACCAGTTATTGGGAAATGTCAAATACACCGTAAAGACCTACTACCTCTTATTCTTCTGGAAATGATTAACACAATAGAGGAAAGGAGCGGAAACAGAATATTTCAGTGTGCCAACATTTTATATACGACATCTCACGTCTCCCCAAATTACCCACAGAGGTAAATACTACCTCTTATACTATATTTACATGGAATTGAGCCTTCAAGAGGGTGGCTAATTTGCCCAAACCACACAACAGTATTTATACATCTAATATATGAAACGAGGTTGATGTGACACTAAATTCTTTGCTCTATTAAGATCTTCAGACTTTAATTTGGAGACATAAAAATCACATACAACCTAATAGAGATGATTGGAGGTCAGCATCAGCTAAAATATTTTTATTCTCGTTTATTTTTCTGAGAGCATTTGAGCCTGGGCATGCAACGGTCTGAACCAAGTCCCCCTAGGAGATCACTTCAGATCTATGATTCTTTGAATAATCATTGAAGTAGGAGTCCTGGGGCCATTTTTCCCACCAGAACTAATTAAAGTCTTGGAGCTAAGGTTTCTTTTTCTTTTTTTTTTTCAAGTAGGTAGAATACTCTTTGCCCCACTTACCTTCAGAATTTTTTTTTAAGTGAGAATCAAAAAACAGAAGGATGAAAAAACAGTTCTTTTCAACAGACTTTTGGTTTTTAATTACCAGGCGTTGTTTGAGCTTGAACTTATATTCCTGAAATAGATAATTATGTGTGTGTAGGCTTTGAGAGCCTCTGTCCAATGACTCATTCTGCGACCCAGCAGTGGGGACAAGTTATGTCTTATTGTGACTTTGGAGGCGCATGCAGAAAACTCTGATAGTGAAGGATATCTCAGGAGAAAAATCTCCCCGCAGCTAATGAACCCTCTGTTCTCCTCAGGGCCTGTCAACAGGGTGGTGGAATTACCGACACTTCCAACATCACGTAAAACCAAACATTCACCGGAAAGACCCAGATATTGATGTGGGCCCACTTTTTCTGGTTGGGGATTTGCAACCTGTCAAGGTATGTTTCGAAATCCTAAACACCAGAGAACTGTTCCTGGAAGTGGCTCTTAGAAAGGCCTACAGCTGCGGTCTTTGAAAGATCACGGGGGAGGTTCCAGCTTCAGGCGTGTTCTGAGAACATCTCCCTTGGTAAGTCCAGGAGATAGATTTGAAAGAACTGAATCTGAGGCTGTGAAATTAGAAGAACACGTGGCGTGCATGACTACAGCCTTAAAAGTTACTCCGCCCAACCGCCTAGTATAAGGAACCCGACAACCCATCTCACTCTGCTGAAACAATCCTGATGACAAGCAGATCCCTGCCAGTTCCTGTCAGTAGCTCTGAGGCAACACTCACTAATGTTAGATAGTGAAACTAGGTGACTGAGGTTGGCGGGGACTCTCCGAAGTTTCACAAGGATGTGGAGACAACATTCACCAAGAGAAGACAGGTCTGCACATTCAGTCAGCACTAAATCACAAACATCTACGAGTACATATCTGGTTATTTCAATTAATTCTAGCTCAGTTAGGAGGGACTATGCTGCTCTGTTTAGTCCACGTTCATTTTGGTTCATTTACGTATGAACGATACAGCCCAAAGCCTCGCAAGACAGTTAGAGATCCCCCTCTAATTTGGACTTGTTAAACAATAGAAAAACGAGAAAGGTCAAGTGCCCAATTTCTCACTTGTTGATAGTTTTTAAAACTCACCTTAAAGCCATTATGTAAGGGACTATCATCAAGTTTCTTAGGAGGAAGTCTTTCAAAGAGGAAGAATGAAGACATCCACAGAAAGGTATCTCCTCAAGGGGAAATGATGGGCCCTGAGAGTCGGGCACTTAGGAAGGGGCTGCTATCTCCTTCTAGAAGAATTTAGGAGTTTCATAAAAAATAAGTGTAGTTTTGTCAATTGCTGCCTGGGCCTGGTGGTACCTAAACCAAAAATTGTACAACTTTTTGAAAATACGTTTTCCTAGCTTTGGGAGACTCACCCTTTTTCCCCAGCTGAATTCGGAAACAAAGCCTCTTGCCTAGATTTTGAAAACCACTCCTTGGCTGTAATCGTGAATCGGTTCCTTTTGACCATGGCTCCACAAAAAATTGGACCCCTCTGATGTTTGTGAACTCCATACTCATTGATAAAATTGTGACTTTTGACTTCTCTAATTTTCCTCCCTGAGAAAGGGAGATTTGTCTCACTGAAGTTCATGAAGCAGCTTAATCTTCCCCAGAAACGCCTTCTTTAGAGCTTCACAAATGATGGAGGCCACCTCTCCAAGTTTTACGGCTGCTCTTGAGACATACCCCTAGAATCTTAAGGATCTATACAGTAGTTTCAAAGCTACTGTATAAAGCATTACTTTAAATTATTTAAACTGTAAAATCCAGTTGTTTCCCATCAAAAAATAGTTCTGATGAGTCCTGAACTTTTCCTTTCTTTCCATTTTACTGCCAGTCTATCACTTTCTTCATTCATTCCTTCAACAAGCATTAATTAAATCTTGCATGTGTCAGGTCCTTTGCACCTGGAAGACTTCAACTCCTCCATTGGAGTGATGCTCAAAATCAGCCTTTCACCTAGGTTTGCCAACTCCCAAGCATTATTCACCAACTTCCTCTTCCGCACTTAAATATTTGGAAGTTCGAGAGTAGTGGCCAAGAGCTGCTATTATTTCATCACCATGACATTTCTTTTTACTTATGACAATACAAGAAGGAAGAACCAACCCTACTATCCAAATAAGAGAGTCAATCTATATGTAGGTAGGAAGATATCAAAAGTATGGGAAAAGCAAGAGTCAAACACTGCTCATGGTGTAACTGAGTGAATATATAGCAAAAATATAGAACTGGATGTGAATTATCATTCACTCACTCATTCCTTCAATTAAATGTTTATTGAATGTCTGCTAGTTACTGGAGCTATAACCATTACTTCTGTGCCTCCTCTCAGGGTATTTGCTGTCTTCAAGCACTGAACACAGATAAATTAAGGGGACCCCTAGAAAATAAATCAACTTTCCAGTAGTAAGATTATTGTATAATATCTTTGTGTCATACAAATAGTAAATCATAGCATGAGATCACGATGAGAACACAAAGGGGGAAAGATTGGACAGATAGGAGAGGCCATACCTATATCTTTTCACATGACAAATAAGTATCTGTTGAATGAATGAATGTAAATGATGGAGACTAAGCTTCAAACATAATTCTAATCACCACAGTTAAAGAAAAGCTTAAAAAAACCTCCTCAGAAATGTGCCTTTTCAATCATCACTCTACTTCACATAAGGGCAAAAAATTTTTAAATGGCTTCTATGGAAATTTCAAAAAGTGATCACAATCCCCATAATCAAATGGAATAAACCATCCATGAAAGAATACCCACATTTAATTAAAGTAAAAAGATGCCACAATATTTCTTCCCATTCCAATTCTACTTCTTCCAGTGCCCCAAGTTTGACAGCCAGTGAACTCTGATCAGATGACTTTCCACAGAGATGAGAGAGAGAGAGAGAGAGAGAGAGAGAGAGAGAGAGAGAGATATCTTGAGTGTAATAACCAGAGGTGTTGTCTCTTATTTAAGTTGTTTTCTCTCTCCATTCAGTATGGCAAGAAGAAAATCAAATATATCAACTATGAAAAGCAGCACCTGTACTTCTACCTGAGTGAGTCTCCTTGGAGTCATACTCCTTATCATTCCATTTCCTTGAAGCAAACAGTTGTCAAGCCAGAAGTCATGACTGGAGTCTTCTCACAGAGAGGCCAGCCCATGTCATATTGTAACTGAGAAAAGCAGCATGTCTTATTTCAGACTTACTGGGGGTGGAAACCTGAAAAGGACAATGGAGAAGCAAATAGAAATGTGTAATAGGCATCTCATCACTCTGGGTATTGGACAGGGTAGGAGATGCTCCAAGAAGGATGGAAGACAGGATGTCAATCAAGGGGTCTTGTACCCGGGACTCACCGTGTGGAAAGAATAAACACCTATCAAGGAGAAAAGAATAGTGTATTTGGGTAGGGAGGAAAGCGAGATAGAAAAAGAATGCCAAAGCATTGATAGTGTGATGCCAGAAATAGTAGAGGCCCAGGCAGAAAAAGCAACTATAGCACTTCTGTGTGAAGGAAAGCTGGCTGTTCTCATGGCTTTCATACACCTGTAGAAGATACATAGTTTGGCAAACAGAGACAGATAGATGATAGGTAGTTAGATAGATGGTAGGTAGGTAGGTAGATGATAGATAGATAGATAGATAGATAGATAGATAGATGATAGATAGAGAGATGATAGATAGATAAATAGATAGATAGATAGATAGATAGATAGATAGATAGATAGATAGATAGATAGATAGATAGATAATAGGTCTAAATGTGGGATGTAGGTCTAGGCTTGAAAGAAATTAGGGTAGCTGAATATGCATAATGCTTATACCAATAACAAAAACATCAGAAGCAAAATGCTTTGCTCTTAACCAAAATCAAACTCATGATAGATTACAAAAAAAGGTTTCATGGAACCCCAAAATATGTTCATCTAAAACATTTGGGAAGTAAACCCAAATCAGGGAAGGTTCCAAACATTTCCTATAAATCAGTGATTCTTGACCAGCAGCAGTGTTGCTCCCAAGGGGACTCTGACAATATCTAGAGACATTTTTGGTTGTGACAAGAGAGGGAGAGGAATGGCACTGGATCCGGGGGGGTAGAAGCCAGGGATGTAGTTAAATATCCTATGGTCCACAGGAGAGCTGCTAACAGCAAAGAATTATGTGGCCCCAAATGCCAACAGTGCTAAAACTGAGAAATGCTGTTACCGGTGATCTGATTTCCCCAGATGCTGGCTGCCAGTGGTCACCTGTGACATGCCGGAACAGGGTAGCCTGTGGGCCCATTTTTGGAGATATGTGGGTCAACTGCCACTGGTGCCCTTTCCATTGCTGGAATTCCACTGCCCCATTCTATGGTGGTCACTTGGCTTCTTCTCTTGTGTGACCAAAAAGAGGAATGAGGACATCGGTGCCCCATTTTGAAAGGTAGCTGATCCTCAACCCAATCAAATGTGGGTTCGCACAAGAAAAAGCTGTTCGATTTTCTCTTCTGAACTCTGCTCCCCTATCTGCAGTGGTGCTGTATGCCCTTAGCTTGTGAAGAATAAATGAATGGTGTGGATCCACTGCAGAATGCCCACCTCACAAACCACACTGCCTTCAAGAGCTGTTTCCTTGCATCCTTTCCCTTCAAATGCCAACTTAGCCTCTCAGGTACAAATAAGTTCTACTCAGACTGTCAAAGAGCAATGGAGCTGGACACTTGTTAAAGAAGGCCAGGCAGGTTTTATTCAGGCTACTGCAGTAAGAGAGAGAGACTTCAGTATAAACTGAGCTCAATGCTGCTGAAATAAAAAAAAGTGGGACTTTTTAAACACTGGGGCATTCTAAAGGAAATTACCAAAAGACAGTTGAGGGGAGAGGAAGTTGGTCAATGTGAGTAGGCCACCTGTGTCTGCTAACTGCTGAGTATGGAAGTGAGGCTCCAATCCTCCCACAGATACTGGGAGACAGGGCCCTATCCTTGATGATTAAATTTCAGAGGGATGACTCCCAGGTCCTTGAGGAAGACACTTCTGACTTGTAAAAGATACATCTCAAGGGGACCCAGAAAGGATTTACAATTGTAAGATTTCTAACATAAGTGCTCTAAGGAAACGGAAGTCACCCCATGGAGGTGGCCCTGAGCTGTTAGAAACTATGCCAGTGCTTATTCAAGTCTCTTAGTGTGGAGGGTGGATGAAATTATTTGTGCTCAGCATTTGCAGAGTTTGGGGGTTTGCAGATCAACACAAAGTCTAGTCAGGAAGTGGACTCAGAGGACCTGACTAAAGTTTGGTCAAGGAGAGAGTCTGTCAAAGCCCAAAGTGTCTCCGTAAGACTGCTTTGTGCTCTATGCAGCCTCCCTGGTCCTGGGGGAGAAGCCAGTAAATAATTCTCTGGCCAGGAAATGAGTCCACCTTCTTTATTTCTCCCACCTTGACATATCATGACACGGCCCAATCCTAAAGACTGTGAAGGGCTGAATGGACCCTGAGAAAACTGAAAAGCTCGCAGCAGAAGCTTTCTTAGGATGCCTCCATCAAGAATGACTCAAGGCTGGCTGAGTGGCTCAGTTGGTTAAGAGCTCGCTCAAGAGTTTGAGCTCTGAACAACAGCGGTTCGAGTCCCGGCCCGAGCTGCGCAGCCGCTGAGCTGCCAACAGGTGGCAGGATGGCTCAGCTAAAAAATAAAAAATTTAAAAAATTTTTTAAAAAAGGATGACTCAAATCTTCAAAGCTTCCATAGTCTCCTTGAGGGAGCAAGAACCAAATTCCTGGTTCACTCTAAAAGACTCAAAAAAAAAAAATCCATGGAGTTCACCATGCTTTCCTTCTCTGGAGAAACATTGCAGAGGTGGCATGTTAAGGAGATAGACTCCTGCTAACCTGCATTGAAGTCACATTCTGCTCACTTAGTCACCATCTTTTTGTTATTATTCTTTTTCAGGTGGGCTTCCCCTCCTCATGCCTGTATATTTCAACCTACAATCCATGCAAGTGATGTACCTCCGAAAGTATTGGGGGGTGAGTAACTTGACTCATTCTCTGAAGCTAAAACAAGTAGAAAGCAGGAAATGAAAATGCTTATTGGTCCCTTCCAGATAGAGCTTCCCTGAATAACAGGACATACGATTCAGCCAGTACATGAAGGGACCCTAACCCAATGAAGGGGAACCCAATGAAATTGTGCTCAGGGCATCTAATTTTCAAGCACTTCTCTCTGCAGGATATTGCCTGGGTCAGCAGCTTTTACATCCGCTATTTCATCACATTTGGCTCCTTCTACGGAATCTTCGGAACTGTGTTGCTCATATATTTGGTCAAGTAAGAAAGCAAGAATATCCTCTTATTCCCATACCTAGATCAGCGATTCTCAACCTTCCTAATGCCGCGACTCCTTAATATAGTTCATGTTGTGTTGACCCCCAACCATAAAATTATTTTCGTTGCTACTCTATAACTGTAATTTTGCTACTGTTATGAATTGTAATGTAAATATCTTTTTGTTTTCCGATGGTCTTAGGCGACCCCTGTGAAAGGGTCGTTCAACCCCCAAAGGGGTCGCGACCCACAGGTTGAGAACTGCTGACCTAGATAGTCCTCTTACCTTCCTCATCGAATCTATTTGTGATTAGCATAAGATTATGGCACCATGCCCCAGTCTCTGTAACTGGGATATTTCCAAGGAAATGTAAAAAAACAAGTTGAAATAGTTGAAGAAGATGAGCTCCTGGGGGGAAAAAATTCCCAATCTTCTCTTTTTTTTCCCCCACTTTCTTAACTCCCAGCTGCAGTATTCCACCTGATCGCCAAATCCTTTAAAATTCTAATCCAACTGGACATGACAATCCTTGCAAAGATAATGGAAGAAAAGGAATTTTTTTAAGTTATTTTATGACTAAAGATTTTCCCAAAACCAAAACGACTTTCCACTGAATAGCCCTCTTCAACTTCCCAATTTATTCCCCCCCCCATTCTTGTACTGTATTATTCTAAATCCTATGTAAGAATAGGGGTGATGACAGGTAATGTGCATCAGACACTTTTCTAAAGGCCTTACGTGCACTAGCTTATTTGATGTAATCCTCACGCAATCCTGCAATGCAGATAGTATCATCTTCATTTTTCTACTCAGGAAGTTGAAGCTCAGAGATTAAATCACTTGCCCAAAGCTACAGCGCAAGTAAGGGCCAGTGGCAGTGCCAAACCAGAACTTGAACCCAGCTCCATCTGATAACAAAGCCCAGGCTGTCAACCACTTGGTATATTCGCTTAAGTTACTTAGGTATCTTTTGATCCCTGCACTGATGCTACAGCAAACTGAAGCACTGTTCCTACACATGAGGCATCAAGGCAGGTCATGTGACCAAATGCCTAGTGTGTCATTTCTAGATACTCCTATAAAGAGCCTCCAAAAAGAAAAATAAATAACCACTATTTTATCAGAACCTTTGAGTCCCTTGAACTCCCTCCAATACTTAGTCAGCTCTGCCAGCAGTTATGCAAGACCAGTTATTGGACTCATAACACCCCAAGGAGTCGTCATTTCTTCCTTTTATTCTCCGAAAGGTTTCTTGAAAGTCCCTGGATGGCATATGTTACACAGATGAGCCACATACCTATGAAAATGGGCGAAGAGGAGAACCGAGACTGGTTCACTACTCAGGTAAGAATGAAGTCCCTGGGAGAGGGTCCTTCAAAGCACACTGATTTAGAGTCTGGTTACTTCTAATAATAAGAATTAATGTTTATTGAATGCTTGCCAGAGACCAGGCACTGTCAATTGCTTGCATGTAACTCCATGAGATAGAGGCTATTGTTATTCCCACTTGACAAGTGATAAAACTGAGGCATGAAGAAGTTGAGTAACTTGCATAAGATCACACAGCTAATAATTGGTACAAGCAGGTTTTAAACCTAGGCAGTCTGATTTCAAAGCTTTTGCTCTAAACCGAGGGTCAGTAAATTACAGTCCAAGGGCCAAATCTGGCCCATTGCCTATTTTTGCAAGTAAGGTTTTATTGGTACCCAGCCATGTTCACACTTTTTTATATTATCTATGAATGCTTTCATGTTACCACAGCAAAACTGAGTAGTTGTGACTGAGAATTAAAATATTCACGGTTGGTATTTTATAGAAAAGCTTCGCTGACCCTTGCTTCCACATGACACAGCCTTTCCGGTGAATCTGAGACTCCCAGAATTACAGAATGAATTTTCCAGCTAGAAGGACCTTAGAGCACCTCATTTCATTGTAGAGAGAGGCGCTGTAAGGAGACATGACATGCTTTCCAAGCATGCTGTTAATGACTCACAGAACACCCCTGCCTCCTAAGCTTTCAGCTAGCTGTGATGACCTGGGGCGTCCAGTCAGAGTACTGCGTTTTTCTCCAAGCTCATTGCCAAATTCAGTGGGTCTCCCATAAGGCATAGAGTAGTGGTTCTCAAACTTTTTGGTCACAGAACCACTTTACACTCTTAAAAGTTATTGAAGGGGCCAGCTGACTGGCTCAGTTGGTTAAGAGCCCGCTCAAGAGTGCGAGCTCTGAGCAACAGCGGTTCGATGCTCGGCTCGAGCTGAGCTGCCTCTGAGTTGCCAAAAGGTGGCAGAATGGCTCAGCTAAAAAAAAAAAAAGTTGTTGAGAACCTTAAAGAGCTTGTGTTTACATAGGTTATATTCATTGATATTTACTATATTTGAAATTAAATTAAAACTGAAACATTAAAATATTTCTTAACTTATTAATTTATTATTAATTAAAATAAGAATGAAAGTAATACATGTTAACATCAGAGTGATGATGCCATCCCATGTTAGTAGCCTCTGGGAAAATCCATGAGAGAATAAGAATGAAAAAGGCAAATAGTGTTTCAGAAGTATTATGGCAATACTTTTGACCTTGCAGACCCCCTGAAAAAAGTCCCAGGGAACCTCAAGGTTCTCTGAAGTACACTTTGAGAAACACTGCCATAGAACGAACAACCACAAAAATAACATTCAAAATGGCAACCACCTCAACTAGAACTAAGCCTTAGAAAGGCATTCAACAAAATAAACTTCATAAGGGTTCTTAATCTTTGCAGCCTGTAGAAGCCTACAAACACCTTCTCAGAATAATGCTTTCTAAATGCATAAAATAAAATGATTAATTACCAAGGAAAGTACTCATAGTCAATGCACTTCTATGCACAGAACCCTTGGTTAGAACCCTTGAATGCCTTATTCCCCACTTAGAGAAGTCCTTCAAGTCCACTGCATAGAAATGGTATTCTAGCCCCTACAATCTCTACCAAAATCCTATAATCCCACTTCCATCTGCCAAATCCTCATTTGTGACACCATAGTCTTCGTATCCAAGAGCTGATGGTGACTCAGTCCCCTCAAATCCTACTTTTTTATGCCTACTGCCTTGTATATACTTCTTAGCAAAATGCCGTGTTGCTTTCTTAAATTGTAAACTCCTTGAGACCTGGGATTGTATATCTTTTTTATTCCCCATCGTCTCTTACACAAAACAGGTACTCAGGCACTTGTTGAATGATTGACTTAATAAAAGGATAAATAAATATTTTCTGTGTTTGACACTTGAGCTTATTGACATCTAATGTAAGTTTTTCTTTGCAGGTCGTGGCCACCTGTAATGTTGAACAGTCCTTTTTCAATGACTGGTTCACTGGACACCTGAACTTCCAAATCGAGCACCAGTGAGTGATAGAAACAGTCCATGATAGGAGCCAGGGCTGTCACTTATAATAGCCCCCATACAGTCCAGAGCAGAGCCCTAGGCTAGGATCTCAGAGGGGAAAAAATGAGCCAGAATTCTCTGAAGGCTGCTATCTTTCTACTAACATCAATGGTAAGAAAGGAAAGAAAGAAAAGGAGTGTGACAGACAGCATGGATGGAACTCGAGGGTGTTAGGCTAAGTGAAATAAGTCAGACTGAGAAAGACAAATACCATGTGATCTCACTTATATGTGGAATCTAAAGAACAAAAGAAATGAACAAACAAAATAGATACAGAGAAGAAACTGATGGTTACTAGATGGGAGGGGGATTAGAGGGCTGGGTGCAAAAGGCGAAGAGATTCAGAAGTACAAATCAGTGGTTACAGGAGAGTCACAGAGAAGTAAGGTGCGTCATGACACTGTGTTCAGTGTCAGATGGGTACCAGGCTTATCAGGAGCTTCACTTCATAAATTATATAATTGTCTAACGACTATGCTGTACACCTGAAACTAACATAAAATCATATTGCATATCAACTATAATTTTTAAAAAATATGTAGTACAGCATAGGGAATATTGCAATAACTATGTACAGTGTCAGATGGGTAATAGACTTATTGGGGGTTATCACTTTGTGAGGTATCTAAATGTCTAATCACTATGTTGTTTTGTACACCTGAAACAAAAAATACACCTAAACTAAGTAAAAGGATAGAAGGAAGGAAGGAAGGAAGGAAGGAAGGA